TTTTGAGACAAGGTCTCCCTAAGTCACTGAAACTGGCTTTGAACTTTCAATCCTCCTACCTCAGCCTTCTGAGCTATATAGGCATACGCCTCATGCCCAGTCCTTTTTACTTTTTATACAGTAGTCTCTTCTTTTGATGGAACATGGTTGCCCCCACAAGGAACTCTGGCACTACCTGCCAATAGCAAAAATAAGGCTCTCTACCAGTGCTCAGACATGCCCAAAGGTTTAGAACCTGGCTGACTTCAGGGACTCTCTATGAAAAAAGTGTTGTGGGAGCTGCTGTACCATAGATGATAAATATTCTCTGCTTTAGAACACATACCAGTTGCTGGGTTGATTTTGCAGAATACATATCTAAAATTTGCTTTTAATGTACCTTTGATATAGCTTTAAGTTTAAAGTGATAGGTATAGAAGTAGAAATATTATATGCTTGCCCCCACACATTTTATGGGAAGCTGAATGTGTGTTATTGCTACTTCCATTTGATTTCCCCTTAGAAGTTCTTTTCCTTCTCAGTCTAGCTGTTATCTGTTCAATTTTCTTGTGAGTTTTTTTTTAATCATCATTCATTTCTATTCCTTTTGTAATCATTTTCACCTATTGGAGCAAATGAGATAATTTTGCAGATTGTACCACTTTACTTTTTAAATTAATTCATTCTTTTTGAGAGAATGATTCTAATAGTGTGGTCAAGTACTTAGAAATCAGCAGGCTACTAACTTCACCTTAATTCAGTCTGTTCCTTGATTCCCTGATCATTTGCTGTCACTCAGGGTGAAGTTCTTTGTCCTGTGCCACCTCCCCACTCCATCATGTCTATGAAGCCCAGTGATGAGTGAAAGGATTCTGAGTTATTTGCAACTATTATAGTAATGTTGGCTTCTAAAGTCTTGGTTAATAAATTTCCATTATATTTCCTGGAAATGTGCTAGTGTATTTATTTATGATTTTTAACACTTTTCTATATTTGGATTAGTGATGCATTTGGCCATATAAGAAAAGAGTCAGTATATACACAAAACATGGCATGCTTTTTTACTTTAGGATTATTATTTTAGAGTGACTAATAGGAAAACAATATCTAGATAAACACAAACCATTGACCTATTTATTTGAAAAGAACATTGATGTCACTTGTAGAAATAAAATACAGATTTCTAAGTTTCCTGGTTTTATTTATTTAGTTTGTTATTTAGGGATTTTTATCTTGCCATATTTTCCATGCTGGCCTGGGATGCCTAGGTGCAAGTAAGTCTCCTACTTAAACCTCCCATTTACCTGGGACTGAGGACATGTACCAGTGCACCAGGCATTCACACTGTTTTAAAGTGTTATAAATACTGAAAGGATCTATTGAATATAAATTCACAAATTTTAGGAAATTCGTAGTTAACTACTAAACAAGTGTCATTAAATATAGTCAAAATATATTTCCCTAGAAATTTTATGTGAGTTATTTTGGGTTACTCAAAATATTTTGGAGTACTTAAAAACATATTTATTAGTAGTCACTTTTGATTATAGAAATGGAAACATATAAGAAAATTACTTATGATTTTTCTCAATTAAAACTAATCAACTGGAGTCAATCTTGGTGTGGTATATTTTTATTTCAGGGACTGTATTCCTGCTCTTTAAAAGGTGTTCTAAGTCTGTAGAGGTGGCTTTTAGCAACAGGTGTGCTGCATCACATGTGTGGCTATGTTATGATTACCTATAGAGAGTTGAGGCCTCTTTACCTTTAAGATGTTCTTTTCATGTCTGCTTTGAAAGTCAAGAGGCCAAGTGAGTTTTTCATGTTCCAGTGGTATCAGTATCTGATTTAATTTGATTTCTTACATAGATCTTTTCCATTCATCAAAATTATAGATATATGTTATTGATTTCTTTGATTCCTCTGTGAGAACACTGCAATTGAAGATAGAAACAAGTTAAAAAATAGGGATGACTAGATTGTGGAATGATGATATTTTAATATCTTAATTATTGGTGTCCTATGGTATGGAATCTCACTTTTCCTTATATGGACTGAGACAGTTAAGTTGCTCATGCAGGTAAATCATTGTACTTTATTCTTACCTTTGAGTTGTGATAATTTTTACAATTTTAAATCCAATGTAGTAGAAGGTAACTAAAATCACCTACATGATTTATTTATTTATTTTTATTAGTCATTAATATTTTTAGATTCTAACACAAATAAATGCTAATCCTTCACTGGTGAATTACAAAAGAGAATTTGAGGATTACCTCTTTTGAATATTCTTGTAATTTGGTAGAATTGATCTTAGTATAATGGCTTTTATTATCTTTAATGATAAGCACTAGAATGGACTTGATGATTTTATAAATACTCATGAAAAAAACAAGGTTAAACTACAGAATAACAAGTGAAATGAGACTTTTGCTTCAATTGCTTTCCATTCTGTGGCATCTGTAGTATAAGTGAAAACAGCACTGAATCTGAATTCTGATCACTAACATTCTATTTTACAAAAAGCTTGTTAGAAATATGTGACTTGTTTGCCTCTGCTAAACTCAATCATCCATTCATTCAGTTGTCATTTATCAGACCTTACTACCAGCTAAGTGCTTGAGTGCATATTACTGAATCCCATCTCTTGATCTTCTTGTAGCTTGCAATGCAATAGTAGAGATAACTTGTATATATAAGAGGAGAATGAGATAAAGGGCCATAGGAAAGATATCCCTGTTGCTTAAATATAGAAGAAGGAGGTAACTATTTGGGTATATTTCTAGTGGGAAGCCTATACGTAATCCTGCAAATTGTTATTCTGTTGATAAGTATATAGAAGTTACTGGAAATTATGACGTCTTAACTTTAAAATATATGGATTCTGAATTCTAATATCATTTTTTTGCTCCTCAATGAGGATTATGAAAGAAAATGCAAACTTAGAAAGTCTCAAAAATAAGTTCACCTAAAAATCTGTATTTAATCATGATACAGAATTTATGCCAATTACCAAATAAAAAATAGCAATCATACTAGTTTAAAATTCTTGTTGCTTCTGCATCTTAGGCATTTATTGTTTATTCTGAGATATATTGAGTAGTCCTGTAATTTAAGAAGTTAGTTGTCCTAGAGCAAGCATATTAATAATTTTTATTTTTTTCTCCATTGCATCTTGGAAAGTTCATTCAAACTTTTCTTTTAATCTGAAGTTTTAGTGCACATTTGAGAACATCAAATAGTGACTGACATTATTTGAAACTCTTACTGACTTTTTTCTGTTTCTCTTTAAGTGGAAATACTAGCAACAAATTACTTCCTTTACTGGGTAATCCTAACCAGGTCTGATACTCACAATATTAGATTCTATTAAATTCAAGTGACATGCATGGAGAATCTATTATTTCTAAAGTCTTTCCTATTACCTTCTGAAACCTTTAGTGCCATGAGGTTAGCTGTTCCTGGTTATCTTTTCTTTAACAGAAAGGCAGAGGTTGCCATCAGCAGTGTATCAGCTGACTTAAAACAGAAAACTACGAAAGCCATGCACAAATGTGGGCTCATCTAGCTCCACATTGTGGTACCCTCCAACCCATTAGGCAAGCTGTGTTTGAAGCAGTTTTCAACATACACTATAAAGATTATATTGTATGAAGCTTGTTTCAGAAATATAAGCCATAAAACGATTTCTTGTATTTATTGAAATGGTGCATTTCTACACATCATTTAGACTGTTTTGATTTTTGTGTTTGTATTAATTATGTCTTAGTGCAACCCTTTATAAGGGAGTTTTTCTAAACACGATATCGGCATTAAAGTAATATGACATTGTGCGTGGTGGAAATATTACATGTGTAATAATTTGCATCCTTAATGTTCCAGAACCCTGGGTTTATTAGTAAAACGATTGGAGAAAGGTGGTAAAGCTGAACAAGAAAACCTTTTTCATGAGAATGATTGCATTGTCAGGATTAATGATGGTGATCTACGGAATAGAAGATTTGAACAGTAAGTGTGTGGTGGCTGCACTGTGTTCCTTTTCTGCTTTAGGCATGATGGAGTATAGTGGGTTGAAAAGCTCCAAACATGTCTGAGATTCTCTGTGTACTGCACCTGTTTTCTGCCACCATCTAACTTTTAACAATTTAACCAAACTCAAGGTAATTAACACCATTAGACTGTATTTCAGAATGACCTCTGACCAATAGAGCTGGTCTTGGAATAATCTGAGCCCAGTTTAGGTTATACAGTGATACAGTTCTGTTGCTTCTTCACCTTTTGAGAAACTCAGCAATGTGCTCATCTGTATTATCCTTTAATTCACATTTTCAATGGTTGCACATAATATGCCTTACTATATATATATATATAAAAAAAAAGCTTCCTTGAACCACAATATTGTGTCTTCATTTCCTTTTTCCTGACTGAGGACCTTATTCAATTAAAAACAAAAAGTTGGCCAGTTCCTGTTAAAGGGGCATGTGTGAGCAGAAGAATAGTGAAGAAGAACCATGGCTTTGAACATTTTAGACGAGGACTCTATCACTGAGCTATACATCCCCCCCACTTTTTCGGGGGTGGTGGTGGTGGTAATTCTTGTTCTTGAGATTTTCTTGCATAAACAATCTTGAATTAATTTTGCTGATAACTGATGAATAGGTAGTTGCTCTCTATGGTTTCCCAAGTTTATTTATAAATTTATTTCTCTGAAAACTCAAAGGGCTTCTTTGTTAGGGAAATATTTAATAAATTTTACAATTTGTATAGATTGTCTCCTAGGGAGAAGGCTGCATTTGATTTCTATTAATATTAAAATTAGAATGTCCCTGTTGTTCTTAAAACTTGTTTAATAATTTACAGTTGAGAGCATTCTATTGTATTTTATCCATGATCATAGATAATTTTGCCATTTTTATTTAGAGAATGACAAATTTATATTTGGAGACATAGCTCTGCTTATATCAGAGCTTGCAAACTTGGTTAATAAATGGGTTATCAGAATTTTGCTTTTCAGGTTTAACACTCTGTCAGTTCTTATTGCTTAATTAGTATACTTAATTAAGCTCATAATATCTTCTAGTCTGCTGGTCTTAATTTGCTAATCTTCCATTCTTTCTCAAACCCAGAGCACAACATATGTTTCGCCAAGCCATGCGTACACCCATCATTTGGTTCCATGTGGTTCCTGCAGCAAATAAAGAGCAGTATGAACAACTTTCCCAAAGTGAGAAGAACAATTACTATTCAAGCCGATTCAGTCCCGACAGCCAGTATATTGATAACAGGAGTGTGAACAGTGCTGGACCTCATGCACTGCAGAGAGCACCCAGACTGAGCCACCCACCTGAGCAGATAGAAGCTCACCCACGACTACCTCATAGTGCACACCCCTCCGCAAAACCACCGTCAGCCCCGGCTCCGGCCCCACAGAATGTATTTAGCTCAAGTGCAAGCAGTGGTTATAACACCAAAAAAGTAGGCAAGAGGCTCAATATCCAGCTGAAGAAAGGTACGAGCTATCTAATTTTTCTTTGAAATTGCTTTTAAAAGTCAACTGACTAATCCAAATATCTTGAGTTGATTGATTATTTTTGTCCAATGCTGCGGGTAGAACCCAAGGCCTTGCATATGCTGGGAAAATGTTATAACAAGGAGCTACATCCCCAGCCTAGCACCTTGAATTTGATTAAAGATTAAAAACAAAACAAAAACCTTATTTTTTAAAATGGATTAAAAGCTGTATTTTTGTGCTTTTCATATTCGTATGCTATATAGAAATTAAAAGTAAAATTTAAAAAATTAAGACTTCATGATGTAAGTTTATGAGAAGAAGGTATCAGGTACTGTTGCAGTAAAATTTTTGATAATGAGTGGAAAATGTTTCAGGGCATGACCCCCCAAACAAAACCAAAGTGAGAATTTGATTGTTTTGGCAAATATGGCCCTCAAAGAGGCCTCTAGAGATTGTCTACTTCAGTTCCAGATGGGGAGTGACTGGTTTGTGGCTGTTAGTTGTTTGTGGTAGGTTGTCAAGAAGTCAGGTCTTGTCTCTTGTCTCTTGCTTTTCCAGAATACTACATTGCTTTCCCTCTCTTCCCCTTCCTTCCTTTGTTCTTTCCTTCCTTCCTTCTTGGGAATTAAACTCAGGCTCTTGCATGCTAGGTAAGTGATCAACCACTGAACTATATCCCCAACCCTTTTTTTGAGTCAGGATCTGTCTTAGGTGCCCAACTGGTTTGGAGCTTGCAGTCCTGTGCCACAAAGCCCACTCATTGCTTCCCTTTCCTAAGGTGAAAGGTATTGCTAATTGTGTTTGTACACTGTCATTTAAGTCTCCCTTTCCCATAGATGGTGGATCCATGTATATAGGGAATGTGCTGTTCCAGTTTGCTGCCTCTACAGCTCAGAGCAGATTGCTGGACTCCACTTTCTGGTTTTCAACTGGTAAACAGAGCACTGAGATACTTTGGCTGTTCATGTTCCATTATATTAGAGGATTTTGATATATTTTAAAAGCATGTCTTTTGAAATAGTGTCATTATAAAAAATATTTTTATGAGCTCACCCAACTCCTGAACTTTGATGGAAATTAATCCATAGAGTAATTTCCTCATGTCATATGGCTGTTGGCAGAAGATTCCTACTCGAATGTTTTCCATATCCTGACATTCAGACAATCTTCTTTCTATTTGGGGTAGCATTTACAAGGTTTTAAGCTCTGCAACTGCTATTTCCTTTCTAAGTCATATTCTTTCTTTGAACTTTTTGTGAACCACAAGTTCCTTATTTCTGGTTACTGATTTTCAAGCTCCAAATACTTGGTTGACAAGATCAGGAGTTGACAGCTTGCCTGCACCACTTGCAAATACAGAGCCTATCAGCAGAAACCCTCTCTAACTGTTAATTCCCAAATGAAAGAAATATCAGATCCTCTTTCCTCATTTTTTCTCTACTTAAATCACAGGCACTAGTTTTTAACCAAGAACTTATCAAGAACTACAAATAGAGTTGTATAAAAATAAAAGTCTACCTGAAATCTCTCCACAAAGGTAGAGTATCTTAGTTGGCCATTGCCATAAAGGTATTAGTTTAATAAATATGGTTTTTCTTTTAGATTGATGGAGGAATATTCATTTAGTTAATTATAGTTTTCCCACAATCAGTAGGCTTAACAAATTGTGGTTATAATATGCACTTTATTAATGAAGTGAAATTTTATTTGCTAGTAAGAGAACTATTTGGCTGGAATTAGTAGTTTTATTTTAATAGCGTTTAGAAAGATATGATTGCATCTACACAGCTAATTTAGAAATGGTATGCTTAATCAATATAAGAGAAATGGAAATGGTGGTTTACTTTTAAATATTTTTCTGACCTTGAGTAATCTAAATGATATAGAGCCTCATAGATTTCTCCTGATTTTAATTTACTGTGAGAACGTATAACAAAAAGTGCATACTGCCTATGCAACTGCCAATTCTTAAAATATTCTACATAAACATAAGTTATGTTTACCATACATAAATAGGAAGAAGGATACTGATTGCCTTTGATTAGGACTAAATAAAGACAATTTAATTATAGTGATTTTATGAGAATTTAACAAGATTTTATTGTCGTTAATAATGTTTTTATCAGTTACAGTTAACATTTTAAACATTTTTAAGAAAGTATATTAAAATATACATTTTTAACATTTTAACATATTATTGTTACAGTTAACATTTTAAACATTTTTAAGAAAGTATATTAAAATATACATTGTATGCATTAGTTTGAAACTTTAATATCAGTTCAATTGTGAATTAGTATGCTTCATGTGACAGTGATTATTTAAAAACTGGTATTCTTAGTTCTACAAAGAGGAGCCTTCAGGATGATGTCTCTTTGGCATAATTTTGGAACTATGTCATTTAACATGACAAAATATAATAGCCCCAATGTACTTGCTTCCATAATTATGATTTCTTAATATTTATTGCCATTTGGCATTCTCAAATACCCTGCTCTTTTGGAGAAATTAGCTTTTTAATAAAGTCAAAGGAGAAGGTCAGTAATCTGTTTCAGTCAGTTCAAAATGTTTTGTTGGCTTTGCTAAATGAAAATTGATATCTATTTATCTTTCTTTTAAAGGTCATTGTGTGAACTTTTAGCTTACAGATTTAGGGGTTATTGCTGATATTTTAATAGTATTGAGGTTCATATAACAGTCAGTCTTTATAGTTCATACAAATTAATATTGCAAAAGGAGAATAATTTAGAATTCTTTCTTAATAAATGTTACTGCATGTCATTAAGAGTTCTATGAAAGCGCAGGGACATATGGAAACGTCCCAACAGAATAATTAGGAAAATTTCTTATAGACAATATGCCATTCAAATCTTCTGCACTGAAGACTTAAAACATTAACAGTCTAGGCACATTAATGTGGTTTCAGATTAGAAGTAAATGAATATTTTGTTTTAACTATAGAATACTTATGATGGGTATTGTTACTGGTATAATCAAGTATTTATTGATGCTTTGGTTCTTCTTTAACTCACATTTCTATTTGCTCATCGTTATAACAGTTAATGTTATATGTTTTATTATAATTTTGTACTGAATGTTGCATTAAATTAATGTACTCTAGATTTTTTAAGTTTACTGAGCACTGTACTCTCATAATGAGCAAGTATTTTTCTCTAATATTATGAAAATGAAACTAATATCCTATGAATTAAGGTTTTAAAAATACTTAGATATTACTCATTTTTATTATATAAAAAATTTTATTATAATAAATTCTGATTGATTAGAAGTTTGTCATTATGTTCAAGGATTTTTTTCTTGCCACATTTTGGCTTATTGCATGGTCATTCTTGTGACATACAGTGTTTTTAGACCCTGTATGGAACTTATATAAGATCGTTTGTCAAGACACTAGTATTGCTGTATGTATATACATGACTGTATGACCAATGTGATTCTGCAACCTATATACTCAGAATAATGAGAAATTATACCCCATTTGATTCAAATGTCTGATATGTCAAAATCATTGTACTGTCATGTTAAATTAAAACCAAAAAATTAAAAAAAAGAAGTCTGCTAAAGAAGTGAGAATTATAGAAATCAAGAAACTAAATTATAAATGCCTCATTAATTTTAGTACCCTTCAGCATTATAGGGTGAACTTTAGATTTGGTGGCCATGGTCTGAGGTGAATTATGCAGTGAATAATTTGCCTTTGGTGGCCAGGAGTGGGAGAGCAGGGAATATATGTGGTAACTATATAATCTTTTGTTAAGTTCTCTTCCAATTGACAAAAGTAATACAGTTCATTCTCTTAGTAAATAGCTGTTCTTGTGGTTGTTCTTGGAATTTGAGGAGAATCTGTTACATGTATCTAGAAATATTTCTCATTTCGTTATTCTCATCTCACTGAACATTTTCTTTTTCTCCTTTGCTTCTATCTTTTACTTTTCAAATCTTAATATCATTCTTGCACAATAATATTTGATTATTTAGCTACCATGGGTTTTCACAGAAGTTTTTTTTTCTTTGTTCTTGTAAAGCAATTTAATTTATTTGATACTTAAAGACTTAAGATAGACTTGAAAGCTTTCAGCAAGCATATTTGTACGCTAAAACCTTCCTCTGTTTTTGAGAAGATTGCCATGTCTTTTTAGATGAGTGACTTTTGATAGGTAAAGCATTTAAACCTTAATGTCATTTAACGTGACAAAATATAATAGTAGTCTACCTCCAAAAAATTATTAAACCTTTTTAAGTATTAGAAAAAATGTTGGGCATTCATTGTGAAAATTACAAATCTTTAAGATGAGGTAGAGAATAATAAAACTCCTTATGTAAATATGTGTACATGAGTGTGTACATGTGTAACATTCAAGGTACTTCATTTCAGTTTTAAAATTTTCTTTCATGTGTAGGTACAGAAGGTTTGGGATTCAGCATCACTTCACGAGACGTCACAATAGGTGGCTCAGCTCCAATTTATGTGAAAAACATCCTCCCCAGAGGGGCTGCCATTCAGGATGGTAGACTGAAGGCAGGAGATAGACTCATAGAGGTGAGTGATATTTTCTAGGTACTGTGTTCCATCATTTCTGAAAAATTATGTTTACAAGAGTCAACTTGTAAAGTATTTTCATAAAATGGATATTATGTATTTGTGCAGAAGTATGCATCCCCAAACCACGTATTTCTCTTCTACTTCAGGTTTTCTCAGTTTATCTAACAGAGTTATACATACATTTTGTTTATGAAATAAAGTGGTATTTTATTATGTATAAGTACCATATCAATAAGTTTGTATTTCTAGAGGGCTTTATAGTTCTGTCTGGCATAGCTGTGCTTTTTTTTTAAAATCTACTTTTTAATCAGAGCAGAGATACATAAATAAAATCAGTGTGTCTTGAAGAAAGGAACAAGTTTGAAATGCAGTGTGGAGAATGAAGTGAGATGCAAAAGTCCAATAATAAAACAGTTTCTGAGAATTTTCTTCCTGTATTTCATGTTTTTTTTGGTTCATTGGTTTTTGAAGCCATCCTAGAAATATATACATGTATATAATTTCTGTCTGTGGAAATATTTGTTCATGTAGGAAAAAAAAGAAGACACAAATGAAGAAACAGGATACTTTTTTGGCTGTTTTTCCTAGTGTTTTCTGTAGAAAACATATTCTAATGTTCTTTCTTCGTGTGTGTGTGTGTGTGTGTGTGTGTGTGTGTGTGTGTGTGTTGCTGGAGATGGAATCTGGGGCCTGCTGCATGCTAGGCAAGAGCACTTCCACTGAGCTGCACCCCAGCTTCTGTGCTTTTCCTTCTTCCTCCTCTTCTCTCTTGCAATCTTGCTCCTTGTCTTTCTTGATAATCACTTTATTTTTAAGTCTCTCTTTTTCACAATTTCTTCATCTTTACAACATTACAAAAGTTTTTGCTTATCTTTTTGAGCAATTGGAATGGCCTGGAAGCTGTATATGTTCTGAGTTAGACTTGATTTTCTATTAGCTGTCAGCTTTGCCTTAAATCTGAAACTTCATATTTGCATGTTTCACACCCGACTGGTATGAAATCTGATATCTAATAGTTGCATTCATGTAATGGTGAAAATTTGGCAGACTCAGTTTTTTCTGAGTATCTGAATATTTGGAATCTTTCAAAGAAAAAATATTAATGGATTTATTTTTTTTCTCTTTTATCTAGATTAGATTTTTTTCCATTTTTCTTGGAATCTATTATCATCTGTTTCCAGCAATTCCTTAAAATTAGTCCTATTGAGCTGTAGACAATGGTTTTAGTAGGAAGGGCCAAGTTTTAAAACATATTTTAACAACAGGAAAAATTTGATATTAAAATTTAAGTAATATATTTATTTGCCATAAATAATATTATTTTGGGGCAAAATAAATAATATGAAAGTATTTTAAAAGAAACTTATGTTCTTATTTTGTCGAGTATAAAGTGCTTTCTAATACTGATGTTATACTTCTTGTGAGATAAATCAATGAGATTCTAGGAGAATGGGTTATTCCAATTCACTTTTTCCTACTTGAATTTTCTTATAACATGGGAAACAATTGAGATGAAATATTACTTCATTTCAAAATTATCATTATCTTGTAGTGATTCTTCTGTAATATTTGATGTTTTACATTTTAAGCATAATGTTTTTTCTTCATTGTTACTTTCCTGAAACTTAAAATATTTATGCCAAATTATTTCCTATTTTTTATTTTTTCTACTTCTTATCAGAGTAATACTGTTTTATTTTAATACGAGAAAACCAGTGATACACAAGATCATTAAAATATCAGTTCAGGGGCTGAGGATGTGGCTCAAGCAGTATCGTGCTCGCCTGGCATGCGAGCGACCCGGGTTCGATCCTCAGCACCACATACAAACAAAAATATGTGACCGCCGAAAAATAAATAAATAGAATTTAAAAAAAAAACAACAACCACTGCTATTCTTTAAAAAAAAATCAGTTCAAAGTCAAGATTTTTATTGACTTGGCATTTTAGTTGTTTTCGTTTATTACTTGTTACTTGTTAATTTCTAGTGCTTGTAGCTTTTGTTTTATTGATGTGCACTAAAAGATTTATTACTTCCTAGCATTCTTCTAGATATCTGGTCTAGGTTGCTTTGTTTTGTTTTCAATCATAGAAGCTTAGTGGTAACCAGGTCATGGCAGAATTTAGCATAAAATGAGTTATATTTTATACCAAATATGGTCAATTCTAGAACATGTGTCTTCTGTTAACAATCTGTACAGAATTGCAACTGAAAATTTTTTATTTGTTTTTAGGTAAATGGAGTAGATTTAGCAGGCAAATCCCAAGAGGAAGTTGTTTCCCTGTTAAGAAGCACCAAGATGGAAGGGACTGTGAGCCTTCTGGTCTTTCGCCAGGAAGACGCCTTTCACCCAAGGGAACTGGTGTGTAAATTTAGAACACATGAAAGATTTCTGATGTACATGAGCCAGGGATCTGGGTTAGCTACCTGATGGTGAATGTTTATGGAGACAGTTTCTAAGGAATTTCTTTATTTTATATTTCTTTCTATCCTAACTTAATATAAGCATTTTGTTGCCTTCCCTAATCTGACTTGGAAATGGATATCCACAATAGTGAACATTAGGATATTTAAAAACACATTGTAGGGGTATTTTCTAGGACATCAAATATTTATCATTATTCACTTTCAGATGAACCATTTGAATAAAGACATCAGTGATCTCATAACTGTCACTCCAAAGGCTGTCATCAAAAGCTTGCCATCTTCTCCCCAGCACATGACAAAATTTCATATTTTCTTAGTAGCTTAGCCAAATGTAGATGGTCACATACGAAAAGGAGTTTCTTGAAAAAAATTACTGAAAATAAGAAGACCTAGCTGTCAATAAGTTCCAGGGCTATTATTGACCAAAAAGATCACATTGTTTGGAATGACATAAATGAAATAAAAAGTCATTTGTTTGGAACAAATCAACTTTACTTTTCACTGCTTACATCAAGAAGTTCAACTATTAGAAACATTTACATGGCATTGGTATGAATGAAATACATATATTAAATATACATTGTTCTGAATGTTTCTTCTTCAAAAAGTACAATGTTTCAGTTATATATAAAATGACATAATTGGAGAAACTGCCTTTTCTTTTTATGTGGTGAGAAAATTGCTTTATTTCAAACATAAGTGGTATTTTAAATGTTTCAAAACAGTTTGTACCTGGTAAGAATATTTGACATCTTTTTCAGCTAGCTTGTTATTTCATCTAAAGGTAAATTACTATGTATAAATTTGGCAAGGTTTTAAGGTACAGTTCCCAAATTGATCATATAATTCTCTTAGATAATAACTCATGTATGGTTGCATCATTGTTGACAAAATTTTTCTTTGCTTATCAATAAATATTTTTGTTTTCCATATGAATTACATATATTCATATAAATAGTTATTTAAAATAGAGTTTCTTTTCAGTCATTAATTTAGCATCCCTTGATCCTAACACTCTCTGTGATTTTTGTGGAAATTTCATATGGTGATAGGGGTTGAAAAGTGAACACTTGTGTTTTAGGTTGATTTTGAATAAATTATGAAAGCTTCTTTATATTTAAAAATGTTTAATGCATTATTCCTCAATTTAAATTCAGTTTTCCATTTTCCCCCCACTGTTATCCAATTTTGTGCTTAAAATGCCACCTGATCCTAAATCTGGAGATGTCTCTATTAAATTGTAAATGAGCACTTACCAAAACAACAACTAAGCTTTCCATGTGATTTGATGAAGCTTTAATTCTTCCTGGGTGTATCCAAGCCATGATAGTTAGCATCATTAGATTGCCAAAGCTTCCACACTGCTCTTCAGCAGCCTTCTCAGAGTGAGTGCCAACGTATAGACAGCCCAAGGTTATTTAGGTTCTTCTGGTCCAATTTTGATCTTTCAGGCTTCTGTTTTTCCCGTCTGCTGCCTCTTGTTGTTTTTTTTCCCCCCTTGGTTATTTAATTTATTGCTTGTGAGCTTTTCATTAAGGAACGAGCCAGTAGGCCGTCAGTCAGTCCATTATGTATGTTGCAGCTGCCTTTCACGATTTAAAAGAATAAAATTCTGAAAACTTAAGTTAAAGGGTGGGTGGGTGCATTTAATGCTCATCTTTGAATCCAATTAGTGCAACTCTTTTCCTCTGTTGAGGATTTCTGTGTTTCACTTCTGCGGGTCTTATTCTGAATACTTTTATTAGTTTTGCCCTTAAAAAATAAATAAATGAAAACATTACCCCAAGAACCAACCTTGTAAGTACTCTATATTAGATGAAAAGAATAGTGTGTTTATTCCCTGTGTAATATTTTAAAATATGAAGTTGTGGTTCAGACTGTGATTCAGACTGATTTATCTATCTAGTTATGAAATGATCCAATACCTTAAAACCTAGATTTGGTTGAAAAAATTTAAAAACCAAAATTAGAAACGGTGCCATGATTAGGAAAGAACTTTGGTGAGATTTGTTTTCCTGCAAGTAATACATTTATGATGTTCTATGAATGACCAAGTAAAAGTTATATTTAGAAAAGTTTCTGAAAACCCCCACACAAACACCACACACATCAATGAAAGTTTGGGAGACAGAGAAATCCATCAACCATAATATAATCACCCTTCATCTAGTTGGTAGATTTTAAGAACCAGCAAAATTTCCATTAAAATAAAGCTTTGTGTCCCTGTGTGTTGAAGATGGCTTTGGTCAGTCTGTATTTATATTTTTCTTCGATTCTTCTAGAATGCAGAGCCAAGCCAGATGCAGATTCCAAAAGAAACGGTAAGAGCTTTGTCTTTTGCAGGATGCAGAGATGTTGGAAAGATAAATGGAACTAACTTCTTACTAATTAAACATGGAGTAACTTGTCCTGCCTTTTTCCCAAAGTGGTCTTATTTTTAAATGATTCATGGTTACTACCCTATATAGAGGATACTTTAGATTATTTTTGGTCAGATAGGAATAAAAAAGAGAGATTACTTTCCTGTTACTCATTACGACTTGGTGAGGTTATTAGTTGGATAGATATGCAAAGTATTTCACTAGTTGTGAAATACTCTGTTGCTATCAAATGGGAAAAAAGGTAAAAAACTTGAAAAAAAATAAGCTAGAGTAAAGCTAAGTGAATAAAATAAAAATGTATTTTAAAGAGTAAAATTTGAAATGATATGTCAGCAATTGGGCTAAACACAGTTGTCATAATAACTATAAAGGGGGAAATTTCTCTTAATAAAATTCAAGTACTGGCAACTCAGATTAAAATTAAAATGTAGTTGTGTCATGTTTAGAAGATGGATTCTGATTCAGGCTGGCAGGAAGCACTAGCACAGAAATGCTGGGATTGTCCTGTCAAGTCTCTGCCATAACGTACATGGGGCAAATAGAGAGGAAGTATTATATTGAGATATAATATTATTGTGTAGAAATTCTAACAATCAGGACCTTTTGTATATCAAACAACATAGCATAACCATATATCATTGTCAAACTGTTATATATATAAAATTGAACAAAACCTTATCAATAGAGGGTAACGTATCTTTCCAAAAGTTGTCATGTTAAATAAGGCAAAAAAAGTGAGACTTTAAAAGAATTTGAGTAATGTAATTAATAGGTTTGACATTTTTTATAAATTTATAAGCAGGGAACTTTGAATTAATAAACAAATGGAATGTTATTTTTGAATATTTAATTATTCTAAAAATGGATGACAATCAACCTTCAGAGTTAAATCACTAAAGCACGTTGAGAACATTACACATTGATAAATTTGGGCTGTAAAAGTAATAGACTTACATTTTTGTTTGTGAAACAAATAGGTCAAAACCATAGTGGTAATTGCCTATTGGGAATGTAGGCTAGGGATGAGAGGAAATTGAACAGATTGCTTATAAAGACTAAAATGGAGTATGAGAATAATTTATATTATTTGAAAAGACAGAAATTGTGGCAGAGTATAATATAAAGCCAAGGATTTAAATCAGCTTTGTATCACTATAGGAATATACAAGTAGATCATTTCAAACAGATTGGCAATTATGAAAACAAACATGGTATGTATATGTATGTGCATGTATCTTAAAGATGGCATTTCATCTTTTAGTGGTAAAATATGTGTTACTTAGTGTTTATAACAGTTGGCCAGTCACTTTGTAAAATTAAATATTTTCTTTTTTGGTGCTGGAAATTGAACCCAGAGCCTTGTATCTGCTAAGCACGTGCTCTACCACTTAGCTACACCTCCAGCTTGCCTTTCACTTTGAAAAGTTAGATTTCTTCCTCTTGGTGTACATGAAAGTAAATCCCAGTTCCATATAAATTTTAACCTAAAAAAGTATTAGACTTTTTTTTGGAAGAAAGTATATGAAAATTTCTTTGTGTAATGAATGCCTGTCTAAGGATGATGAATTGACAAATTACACACACACACACACACACACACACACACACACACACCACCAATGAGAGTTCTTAGTATTTTTCAATTTAACAATCGTGCAAAAAACATACCTGTGCCAATGATTCATTTTTTCACTTTCAGCATATTATTCAATAAGTTACAGGAGTATTCAGCACATTTTATGTAATAGGTCTTGTGTTAAAGATGATTTTGCCCAAATATTGGGTATTGTAAATATTTTGAACACATTTAAAGTAGGCTAGAATAAGTTATGATGTGTAGTAGATTAGGTGTATTAATTGCATTTTTTGACTGATGATATTTTAAATTAGAATGAGTTTATCAGGATGTGATTATATGTGTGTCAAGAGAAAATGATCTATCTATCTATCTATGTATATAGATAGATATATGCACTTTTTTTTCTGTATATCAATAACTTCATCCTAAAACAGTTGCAAGCTAAAGACGTAAGTATTTCCATTGTGATCCTTGTGTGAAGTGCCATTCCTTTGTGGTTCTGTCTTAGCAGCATAGAACTTTTTGGGAAATAGAATGACTTCCCACATAATCAACATATTTTAACATCTCTAACATTCTAAGATAGGAAATAATGGTGTAAAACATGTAGTCAGTCCTGTTGAGGAAACTGATGATTTGCCATATGATATTGAAAATTTGGCAGACTCAGGTTTTTCTGAGTATCTGAATATTTGGAATCCTACAAAGATCCTCCCTGTGATCCTTCCTTAAAATATGAGGACCACCAGGTATGGTTGCAAAGAATCCTGTAATCCCAATGAATCAGGAGTCTGAGGCAGGAGGATCATAAGTTTAAGGCCAGCCTTAGTAATTTAGGGAGACACTCAGCAATTTAGACCCTGCCTGAAAATGACAAAATGAAAAGGGCTGGGAATGTAGTTCAATGGTAAGGTGCTTACGGGTTCAATCTCTGGTACCAAAAAGAAAAAAAGAAATTCAAGGGCCAGTTCAATCCACCAGCCTTTGTGTTCTTAATAGCATGTCAGAGTTACAGAGAGTTGTGATAAAGAAATAAGTAGGGTGCACATGTGTGTGTATCTGGCTTCTGATTGTAAATAGAAACCTCTTTTTTTCCTAATAGAAGTTTTCCAAACTAAATCAAAAGCATAGTTTTAAATTATAACAAAGAGTTTTGCTTCTTAATTTATATGTCCTTTTATATTTGTGTCTCTCTTTAAACTCTGGCTATACACAAACATTTTGAATTATAAAATATTTAATGTTGGTGGAGGCTGAATCTTTGCCTTTCTTTGTACCTTTTTCTGGCAAAAGTCTTTTTCATGAACTTAAAATATTGCCAATGCTTGACACATAGTGGAACTCAAGAAAAACTCCATGTTAAGACTTTACTCTTTTTATTGGTTTTCTTTTATTTTGGAGGCTAGGTTAGTGAAATCCTAAACTATACCCCTCCAACCTAGCGAGAGGGGCAAATATATCAATGATTTTACAATAAATCTGTGTCTTAATTCCCAATTCTCATTCCTTGGGGTTGATTTTGGAAGAAAACATGGTTTATCCTCTTTAAACCACAGGAAAGTTACCTGTGGTGGATTTGTTATCTTTTTTTTCTCTCTTTTTCTTGAAAGAGGTATATTATTGCTGTCTAGAGTAACATATGATTTATTCAGGATCATAGAAGTTAGTTACCCCTTGCATGTTTGGAACATTGCTTGTAACATTACAGTGCCGTTAATGACTGACATTCATTTATCTGTTGTGATTTTCCCTTTTGTGCTAAGCTCTTTATGTACATTATGTTATTTTATCTTTATTATGTCTGTGACTTAGTATTATTATCCTCTGTAAAACAGGAGAAAAAAGAATTAAATTTAGGATGCTCTAAATCTTGGAGCAGGAATAAACTCATGTTGTCTTACTCTAGAATCTGCAAGGCAAATTTTACTTCTCCTCAGTATTGGTTGTTGTGAAACAATTTGGTATGTGGAATTAAAAAAAATAAGTAAATACTTATATCTAAGGTAATAAGTTTCACATGTTATGTCAACAAATGCAATTGAATTTTGTTAAAATAAAATAATCCCATGCTTATACGACATCTTATTAGTCATTATGTTGAGAAGAGATCTCTTTTAATTTTTTTATATTAGGAATGGATTATATGTAGACTCTATTGAGACATGGGCTCCATATTGGTGATTTCTGTTCACTGATCCACAGTCACTTTTGTCCTTTCCCACTTTGTTGACTGACCTTGCAGATACCCTCTCCTTACTTGTGCTTCTCTTTCCTTTGCCTGTCCATATGGACCATGGGAACTTGAAAGTCCTGTTGTTTCATATGGCTTTTCCAGACCAGATGTAGAGTTCTCTGCCTTTTTGATTCTTTATCATATTTGTTTCTATTATTTTTATTTGTAGAATGATTTTGTCTTGCTTTAACCTTTATACTTCCTTGTGATTTCAAACACCTCAAGAATAGATGCCCTATAATACCTAGCTCCAGCATTTATGCCAAGTAAAAGTTCAGTGAATTTATCAGTTATGTTAGTTACTTGCAACTGATTTAGTTTGAGAAGTAAAACATTATTAAGATTTGATGAATAGGGACAATGTCTGGTAGACCTTTGAATTTCCAAGATAAAAATTTCCTGAATATCTTCCTAGCAATGGACAAGTTACTGAGGGTAGAAGATTAGAATCTTGTTAAGGTTACCCATTCAAATTGGATAGAAAGCTGAATTCTTTAGCAAAGGCCCAAAGCCTCATGCTCCATGTCTTGGATGAGTTCCTTTGCTTTTGAAAGTCTATGAAATTTATTCACTTGGTAGGGAATATATTTTTCACTTGGTATGGAATTCATATGGATATCTGGGTTGGACTTGGTATTATTTGGGAGTTTTAGGGTCAAGGAGGGAGGTAGGGAGAGAGAGAGAGAGAGAGAGAGAGAGAGAGAGAGAGA